CCATTTTTTTGACCCCCTAGTCGCGCCCCCAGGACGTCGAATTCCGCCGGTTCTGCCCATTTTTTGCCCATTTTTTGGCCCGGCGATCCCAGGCCGAACCCAGCGCACTGGGGGGCGCTTGGGGGCTCCGGCGAAAGGAAAAACCAGGCCTGCGCCACCACTGTCAGGCGAAAAAGCATCTTTCACGTCCAGATTCGTCCCCCGCGCGCGCACGCCCTTCTGCCGCCGTGCCGATCCCAACGCCGCCTACCTACGCACCGCGGCTAGAAAGACCATTCCCCCGCCGGAAAAAAAGAGGGTTCGCCCCGACAGCCTCCACCCCGCTCTTGGGCGAGCTTTGCGGCGCTCCGGCCACGCAGGCGGGGATACCGGCGGCTGCGCGCCTACCATGCCCGCCAGGTGTTTGGCGATTTGTCCGCTTGGCGATGGACTCGCACGACGAGGAGGCATTCGCGATGCTGCTGGAGGAGGAAGCCGATGACGACGCCCAGGACGAAGAGCACCTCATGGTCCTCGCCGCTCTGGCCGACCTGTTCGCGAGCAATGCAAAGCCGCGGCGAGGTGGCTCGGCGCCAGTCCAGCTGAAGGCAAAGTAGAGGCATCAACTGGAAGGCTATTGCTTGCTCTACGCCGACTACTTCGCAGACGCCCCACTTCACGGCGAGAAAGTATTTCGGCGCCGTTATGGGATGAGCCGAAAGCTCTTCTTCAGGATTGTGAATTCCATCCGTGAGTTCGACAGCTACTTCAAGTGCAAGGAGGATTGCACCGGCACACTTGGATTCACCTCACTCCAGAAGTGCACGACAGCTATGAGGATGCTTGCATACGGAGCTCCCGGTGATTCACTGGAAGACTATGGACGCATGGCCGAGTCCACGACCATTGAGTGTATGTACAAGTTCTGCAGGGCAGTGGTGGCAGTGTTTAGACCTCAATACTTGCGATCACCCAATGCTGAAGACACTGCTCGGATCCTAGCACAGAATGCAGCAAGAGGATTTCCTGGGATGCTTGGAAACATCGACTGCATGCATTGGGCATGAAAAAACTGTCCATTGGCTTGGCAGGGGATGTACAAAGGCGCCAAAGGATCTTGCAGTGTGGTACTTGAGGCAGTGGCCACACAGGACCTCTGGATTTGGCACTCCTTTGGTATGCCAGGAACTCACAATGACATCAACGTACTGCAATGCTCGAATGTCTTTGGCAAGCTTGTTGAAGGTCAATGCTACTCCGATGAACTTCGTCAATGGGCGCCACTACAATAAGGGTACTACCTAGCAGATGACATCTATCCGAGATGGTCCACATTTGTGAAGACTATCTCAAACCCTGTGCCAGGAGGCAAGAACTCCTACTTTGCCAAGTGTCAGGAGGCTTGCAGAAAGGATGGCGAGCGGGCATTTGGTGTGCTCCAATCTCGATTTGCTGTTGTCCGGTACCCCGCTCAGACCTGGTCGAAAGATCAAATGTGGGAAGTCATGACTTGCTGTGTCATCTTGCACAACATGATCATTGAGTGCGAGCAGGAAGAGCCAGTGTTTGATACTGAACCATATTATAGGCAGGGTCCTCTTGCCCAAGTTGATCACCATCTACCGGCAACCTGGACTGCCTTCCTCAATATGCGTTAGGAGATCCGAGACCCACAGGTGCATCAACAACTGCAACACGATCTGGCGGAGCACCTATGGAGGCTCAAGGGCAACGCCTAGCTCGACGTGTGATGAAATATGAGTTTTTATTTGTTGAACTATTTGCTTTGTATTGATTTCTGTGATGAACTTTGTGATAAAAATTAGCTTCTGTTGAATTTGTGTCGAAGCACGCCGAATATGGGCCGAAATTGGTCCAATTTGCGCCGAAAGTGGGCCGAAATCGGCGGCTGGGGGGCGACCTTGGGGGGGGGGCTGGGAACCCGAGCCCCCTCACACCGATTTTTTCGCCGGCGCCCCCCAGGCGGCGCTATTTAAGCCCCTGGGGGGCCGAACGAGTGGAGATGCTCTGAGTGCCTTGTGTTGGCCAAGTGAGCCCCCCCCGTGCATCTTGTAAAGGGATGCCCAGGGGACAAGGGGTGGCCCACTTGGCCAACTATATTATTGAGAGGTCATCCAAAGTGACGCATGATGCATGCACAGTGCAGCACTATCGGGGCGCACTGAAGTGACGCGCTATAGTGTTTGCTTTATCGGCAATAGTGACCACGGTATGGCCGTCTTCTCCGTGTCGGGTACGCCGCGGTTGACTCCGCGTAGCAGGCCGGCTGGAGCAGCCGGACGGGAAGCAGGCTGGAGCAGCCGGGTGGCGAGCCGGCCGGGGTGGACGGGCAGCCGGACCGAGGGGCGTTGGCCGCCCCGATATTTTGAAGTATCGTTTCATCTCCTTAAGTCTACCCAAGGGTCATTCCCCGACAGGAATCCGGCTTGCAAACCGGAGCAGAATGAACCGAGTGCGCAGCTGGTGGCGCGACAGGACCCACGGCCGCCTGTATCCGCACCGAAGCAGTGGCAGAAGCATATGCGCTGCAGCTGCAAGCAACGTCGGGGCAGCAGCATTTGGCTGCTTGAGCGCCAGGTTCATATGCGTGTCTGGGCCATTCTCCGTGACTGCTGCATGCGGCATGTAGCCAAGAGCCATAGACCGGCCCTCCACAGCTACTGCCTGTATGGCGCACTCAGCTGGGGACTGCGCCTGGTCCACTTCATTCGCGTGAGCAGCAGCAGCTACGGGCAGTCCTGTTGCTGCCATATACACGTCCGGCTGGCCAGCCGAAAAGCCCGGTTCTGCTGCCTGTACTGATCTCTGCATGGACTTCATGGGAACCGCCGAACTAGTTTGAGCATCCAACGTCGTATTTTCACCAACAGCTTGGACATTTTTAGACCTCTTGCTAGCATCTCTGTCAGGCATATCCTCATCCCGGTTAGCGCCGTCCTCATGGCCATCATCATGGTTTTCCCAAATTCGTGGCATAAAGTCAACATCCGGGACGTAGTCCTCCAGAACAAACCGAAGTGAATAGCCATTAAGTTTAACATAGACATCCGACGAGACCGAAGCATCAACAGACCCATCTTTCTTGGAGAAAATATTCAAAGAATGCACGGCCATGTGAATTCACACAATTCCATGCCGGCGCAAAGAAACCAAATCAACATCTTGCGTGGCTCCTATAACTGATCCAACCGCCCACAAACCGAGGAAATGGCGGAGAGGTGGTGGAACGCCAGTGACATGAACCCATACGGGCTGCAAAGGAAGAACGGATGTGACCTCCTCAGCTATCCATTCACTGAATGCAACCTTCACGTTGTATGATTTCACATTGTACTCAAAAGCTGCCACACGTTTCAAAATCTCGATGGATGGGAAACAAACTAGGAAAGCATTGTCTCCATGCGGCACGGCTTCCCACTTCCAAGAAGACTGGAGTGAGGCGATCTTAGCGACCTTTACCTCCACCTCAGCAGCACATAAAGAACCACCAGAGATCGTGACCAATGCAGTTGGCAGTGTTGGTGGTGCTAGATGTTCCTTGAAAAGCGAGTGAGGTAGTTGCACGAACATAAGTTTACAAGACCGCATCCACCGAGCGACGCAATGGGCCTTGGCTGCTTGAGCACAGGACAACGGTGCATAGGGTGCTTGTAGTTGTTGCAAATATGACAGTAGTGTATCACCGTGCAGTCCTTGGAGAGATGATCATCTGAACGACATTTGAAGCACCAAAGGCCGGCTTTCCTTCCTTTCGGGCCCAGTCCAGCGGCGTCCGTCGAGGCCGCAACCACCGGATCAGATAGTTTATTTGCATTGTTGTGTAGCATACCTAGTTTTGTTTTTTGTGCTTTGCAAGAACTTTGTTTTTAATGTTCTTCTATATCTGTTGGTACTTATGTTCCTTTATATGACCCAGTTAATCCTCAAATGTAGTATGCTAATCAACTTTCTTACTGACATCACCTACTTGTTTTGCAATTGTACCTGCAGTTAAATCATGGTGACATTGAATTCGGCTTCTTTCCTCATGTTGCACCTAAGACAGTTGAACACATTTTTAAACTTGTGCAGCTTGGATGCTATAATACAAATCACTTCTTCCGGGTATGAATAAATTTGATAACTTGCTGACACAGTTTGTTTGTTTGTTTGTTATGGACTACTTTTTATCATATGCATGCACATCTGTTACTGGTTGCAGGTTGACAAGGGTTTCGTTGCGCAAGTTGCCGATGTCATGGGAGGTAGAAAAGCCCCTATGAATAAAGAGCAGGAACAACAGGCAGAGAAATCAATTGTTGGTGAATTTAGTACTGTCAAGCATGTCAGAGGAATACTCTCAATGGGAAGGTACTCCCTCTCTGAAGTTTCGGCAGAAACCTGTCTTATCAAACCATCTGGTTCTGGCCTAAACCATAATATCATGTACTAGCATCTTTCTGTATGCATTGGTTCATATGGTTCTCCATAGTTCCTTTTGTCGTCCAGTACAACTCCAGATGAATGCAATGTATATCCTTATTCAGAGTGGATATTGTACATGCAAGGGTGGGTGCTTGAGTCTAGGGTTTAGCTAATTATTTATCTTTAAAAATTCTGAAAAACATTCATAGATTCATTCATAAATATGATCAGGTATGCCCTGCACAAAAAAGAAGCTGCTTTGTATCAACAATTACATTTTCTCAGCTTATGATATTTACTTATTCTTCCCCTCTGCAAGGTATTCTGACCCAGACAGTGCCTCCTCTTCCTTTTCTATCCTCCTTGGTGATGCTCCCCACCTTGATGGCCAGGTATTTAGCATTTTTTGAAAAGACTCATATTCAATGTCAGTTAAGTAACTGAATGGAGATTGATGCCTAATGGTTTTCAGTATGCTGTATTTGGGAGGGTGACTAAGGGTGACGATACATTAAGAAAACTAGAGCGCCTGCCAACCCATAAAGAAGGCATTTTTGTAATGGTATGTATCTGTCAATGCCAGTCCTATGTGTGGGCAATCTGTTCCACCTTATTTACCTCTCGAGTGCACATGTTAAATATTTGAATTCTTCCACATGCTAAATTGCACCATATTTATGTATTTATTCCATTTTCAGCCAATTGAGCGCATTGAGATTCTGTCGACATACTATTATGGTAACAACTGAAAGTTCCTTGTTTCTTCCCCCTTTTATTTTTATTTTCTGTATCTTGAACATCATTACCACAAACAAAATACACTAGCATATATGCAAAGCAAAACAATGATAGTTAGAGTGTTACACCGCATGCCCTTTAGATGGTTAGACAATTTATTAATGAAATATATGTGATGTTTACATATTGAGTTGATCTTCTCTATCATTGGAAGTAGTTTTTTTTCTCTAGTAGTTGAATAGATGTCAATATGAAGGTTCTATAGCTAATACTATCATGTATATACCTAAGAGAGTGATCCCCATTAATTCTAATTATCTCAACATGCATGTTTCAACATAACCAAAATTGTTGTAGCCGATAGATTTACTAGCTTGATCCACTAGCATCTGTCTGATCTACGCATGAGAATCCTCTACCATGAAACATGCACAAGTGCATTCTAAGTAGGTTTTAGATCACATTGCATTTAATTGTGACATGCACAGCTTTTCATGTTACTATTTTTTGTTTATGTCGAAATCTATCACATTGTTTCGTAAGGACCGAGTTAGTATTCTACAGAGTATTTAGAACGAGGGGTATCATCTAGTTAAGTAGAATTTTAGACCCCTACCCATCTACATTTTTCATTCTAGAGTGATTGCTGATGAAGCAACACTAACCTGTGAAAATATTAGGTGTTAAAAGGTTTGACCTATGCCTAGTAAAGTAATAGTAATGAAATATTAATCTGTATGGTACACAAAAGTATAATATTAAATTTCTGATCTAAAGAAGAAGTATATGCATGATTTCCCTGCTACCAAGCTGTTATGTATCGGAGTACATGGGCCTACCATGGCAGCTACCAATTATGGGAAGAGGTCCCCAACCGCTATCTTAGATAGTCTATCCTTTAAATAAAGAAGATATACTTTAGCTTGCGAAAGCCAATTAGGGATAAGATCTGTGACCTCTTAGATTGGATTGTTAG